ATAAATGGTACCCAGTCACAAGACCTGTCATGACTCCTAGCACGCTATACCCGTCCTCGGGCTGCAGACAACGTTATGCCTTCACACGATATAGCAACCATGTTCAAAGCTTTCTGTGGAGGGAGGGAAGTCATTCCCCTGGTTAGAACCAGAGTCCAGTCCCCGTTAAGTCATTGGTACCCGTATCCTCACTATAATCCAACTCATCCAAATCATTGATATCATAACCAGAATACACTCTCTCTTTCTCTCTCTCGCTCGCAGCCGTCGTACGGCTAGGCGACTCCGAGCTACACCTAGTGCAGCAACGGAGTTTATGAGGTCAAGTATAGGGCTGACCAGACCGCAGAAGAGAAAAAATATACAGTAGGCTTGCACCTATAATAGTTGCATTGATACCATTGATACACAGCAGAACGTGCATTCATGCTCTTCATTGTGTTTTTTTGCTTTTTTTGCTTTTTTTTCTTTTTTTTCTTTTTTTTGCTTTTTTTTCTTTTTTTTTCTTTTTTTTTATTTTTCTTTTTTATCTTTTTTTAATCTTTTTTTATTTATTTTTCTTTTTTTTACTTTCTTCCTTTTTTACATCATATCATGCTTCAGCGGCATGTTACAGCCCAAACGGATCCTCCGCTCGCACAAAGTTCTATTTTTTGCTGTGCTCGTTTTAACGCCTGTCTCTATCATGTCATGTTTGATCAACTCTAGCCACGACTGACGAGGCCTACCTGGGCGCCTCGAGAATTCATTGGGCACTCTCGGGTTCCACTCTAATAATCTCTTGGCCACGTTATCATCCGGTGATCTCATTAGATGTCCATACCATCTCAATCTTCTCGCACGGAGTTCATTCAAACATCCTGCTGAACGTGTACGAGCGCAGAGCTCCTTGGAAGACATCGTCGTCATCGGAGGTAACCGAATCACTTTCCTTAAGCATGTATTGTAGAACGTCTTAAACATTTGTGTCTCCTCCTCATTAAGGGCCATAGTCTCCGATCCATAGAAGAGCGAAGCAAAGACGACGGACCTCATCACAACCATCTTACCTCGAATACCGATGTCGTGGGACTTCCAGATGTTGTGGAGCCGATGAAGGTTGGCTCCCACGACTCGAATTCGATCACGTATTGCCTTCACGTATCCAGCTTCACTAGATATTAAGACTCCCAGTTGCCGATACTCCGTAACCACTGCCACTCTGTTATGCTCGCTGTCGTGTTGACAATTGATAAGTAGCCTCCTTGTCTTACATTCCGGTTCACCGATTCCCAAGCTGAGATTTGCTGGGGCAGCCTCCTCTTCTAACGCATCCAGTGCAAGGTCACTCTCTCCTTGAGAGTTTGTTGGGACCGTAATATCATCAGCGAAGCATAGCACCCGATAGGTTCTTGTAAGCTATACGATCTTTCAGACATCGAGTGTGTCGATGGTTGTAGTCATGCTCTC